CAACAGTAACGCGCCGCCCTTTACCAAATGCGAACAGTTACGACAACGCCACAGATGCCTCAGATTAGAGAAGGCTGAGGGGTTTTTGGAAGTACGAACAGATATCTCCCTTCCAATCTTACCGTAAACAAGAAGGCAGCGCCCTGAATAGAACAAGCTATTCACTTGTTCAAGCTGCGTTCGTTCAGGAGTCAGTACTAGGGCAGGTTGATGCCACTTCTGCACTGGAGGCAAATGGCATACCATACTTGATAAGTTCAGTCTTCAAGCGGTTTAGAATGACTGCATTGTCTGGGTGCTGTCACCGAACAGGGCAATATCACCCACATAGTCCAAATCATTCAGTTGTTTATCTGTTCGCTGAGCTTAGTAATTTGGTCGCAGATGTTACCTCACTTATCGAAGTGACATCATCCGTGTAAAGTTGGTTGTAGAGTGGGTGCGAAAAATCACATCAACCCGAGCTCCCGGTATTCAGAAACCTTTTTAATAGTCTAAACCAGTTGCCTAGAGGAAGCGCTATGTCGAGACCCTGGGCACCCTCCAGAGCGCTCAGTAGGACAAAGTCAATCGAAAACTTGAAACGAAAAGGGGACTTAGGACATCCATGGCGTATAATGCCAGTGGTGACTAACAGTGAAGAGAGTTCACCGTAAGGCCTAACCCTGCTCGAGACATTGTTGTATAATGCGTGTAGGACGACAGTATATTTCGCTTTTGCAGACAACGCCATAAAATAAGCCGATCGACCGAGTCAAACGCAGCTCAGACGGCCCAAATGGTGACAATAATGGACTTCCGGTAAAGGGGACTCTGGTTAAATTGTTGAAACGTAAACATGTAGATTACACACTCTCGACCGGCACAGGAATCGGCCTGTTCTTCACAGGATTGTTGTCCTCGTATCAATGTTAGTTTGTGGACTCGAATGGATGTCAGCTAAATTGGAGGCAATGAAAAGCATACTGACTCATCCGTTGTTGATGCACAAGGTACAGGGAACATTCTTGAAGCTCGGGACCAGAATGGACTCGTCCCAAGAAGATAAAGCGTTTTCTCCAGACTGTTCTATTGGTTTAGTTCGCTTTGATGAATGAAATTGTCATTCTTCCTTAACATTCACAAAAGACATCAGCACTACGCCGGCACATTTTACCGACATTGCGCTGCTACGCGGCCACCCGTCGCTTGTGGGCTGGGTATACCGCGAGGTCGTCCGCCCCTAAGCGGATTCGAGCCGGTGACCTAGGGATTGCAAACGTGGCGTACAATCCCTTCGGCCACCGGCCGACCTGAACCTTCTCTTAATACTTGTCCTCCGTCACATGTGCACCTTTATATTTTTGAATACATTTTTCATAGCTGAAGCACATTTATAAGCTTAGGGGCGGACGACCTCGCGGTATACCCAGCCCACAAGCAACGGGTGGCCGGGTAGCAGCGCAATGTCGGTAAAATGTGCCGGCGTAGTGCTGATGTCTTTTGTGAATGTTAAGGAAGAATGACAATTTCATTCATCAAAGCGAACTAAACCAATAGATCATTCTGGAGCAAACGCTTTATCTTCTTGGGATGAGTCCATTCTGGTCCCGAGCTTCAAGAATGTTCCCTGTACCTTGTGCATCAACAACGGATGAGTCAGTATGCTTTTCATTGCCTCCAATTTAGCTGACATCCATTCGAGTCCGCAAACTAACATTGATACGAGGACAACAATCCTGTGAAGAACAGGCCGATTTCTGTGCCGGTCGAGAGTGTGTAATCTACATGTTTACGTTTCAACAATTTAACCAGAGTCCCCTTTACCGGAAGTCCATTATCGTCACCATTTGGGCCGTCTGAGCTGCGTTTGACTCGGTCGATCGGCTTACTTTATGGCGTTGTCTGCAAAAGCGAAATATACTGTCGTCCTACACGCATTATACAACAATGTCTCGAGCAGTGTTAGGCCTTACGCTGAACTCTCCTCACTGTTAGTTGCCACTAGCAGTATACGCCATGGATGTCCTAAGTCCCCTTTTCGTTTCAAGTTTTCGATTGACTTTGTCCTACTGAGCGTTCTGGAGGGTACCCAGGATCTCGACATAGCGCTTCCTCTAGGCAACTGGTTTAGACTATTCAAAAGGTTTCTGAATACCGGTAGCTCGGGTTGGTGTGATTTTTCGCACCCACGCTACAACCAACTCTACACGGTTGATGTCACCTCAATAAGTGATGTAACATCTGCGACCAAATTACTAAGCTCAACAAACAGATAAACAACTGAATGATTTGGACTATGTAGGTCATATTGCCCTGTTCGGTGACAACACCCAGAGAATGCAGTCATTCTAAACCGCTTAGAGACTGAACTTATCAAGTATGGTATGCCATTTGCCTCCAGTGCAGAAATGGCCTCAACCTGACCTAGTACTGACTCCTGAACGAACTCAGCTTGAACAAGTGAATAGCTTGTTCTATTCAGGGTGCTGCCTTCATGTTTACGATAAGAGTGGAAGGTAGATATCTGTTCGTACTTCCAAAAACCCCTCAGCCTTCGCTAATCTGAGGCATCCGTGGCGTTGTCGTAACTGTTCGCATTTGGTAAAGGGCGGCGCGTTACTGTTGTATGGAAGTGAGTCCTGGCCGTTACGCGTCACTGAATGCGCTGGATTACGACCTTTGCCGACGATAGTCTGCAGTGAACTGCTCATGTGGGGTGGGAGCATTACTTTTGCAACAATGATGTTAGATGTCGCATCTTCGCTTCTACAGGCATCTCTCTCGATGAGGTAATGTCGTTGCGCCAACTGAGGTGGTTTAGTCGAGTCCTACGCATGCTGTGTCGGTGTTCATCACGACGCACGCTGTTCTCTCTGCAAGAGACGTTGTAGCGGTCAGTCTACCACATGGCGGCAAAAGTCAAAGCGTTTGCTTCCAATTCCTTTGTTGTCAGTTCCTTACGCCTTCTGACCTGGGGGAGTACAAGAAGCATAGCAAAGCTGCTTGGGAACCCTTAGGGACGGCGCGGAGTCAGGCTCCGTGAAAATTTGCAAGAACTTACACATTGATTCTACCCAAGTAACTGCACTTATTGAATTGACGAAAGAAGGCGAAATTGCGTTTGAAAAGCAAAAGGAAAACTGTTGTCTGTTACCTTGTTTTATATTTTCTTGCTTGCTACACACATTGTATGGTTTTAGCGGCTCTGTGTATCAGATAGACAGTTGCATATCATTTCATTTTTGGTTATTATTTTGTAACCTCTAACGATCAGTGCCTGACTTTTCACATATATTAACTTTAATGTTCCGCCTCAAAAACCGAGGAGTTGGTCATCCCTACCTATGCTGTCATTTAAACACATACCGTTGAGAGCGGTGCAGGTGATGACACAGTATATCTGGACTTCTCAAACGCTTTCGACCCTCTGAACCACCGTATCATCCTTCACAAGCTGCAGTGGTATAGTATTGGTGACCAAATCCTCGATTGGGTAGGTAACTTCTTGCTTCAATGACATCTGAATGTAAGTGTTCGCGGCGTCATCTCTGCCCAAATCGACGTTAAGCGCGGAGTGCCCCAGGGCTCAGTACTTGGCCCACGACTATTCCTGATTTACATAAACCATCTCGCGACAGTAATCACCTCCAACTCTTTACTCTTCGCTGATGATCTCAAGATATGGCGAGCCATTAGAACAACCAGGAACAGGATGATCTTGACAGGGTCTACGAATGGTCGACTCAGAACCTGCTTCATTTTAAAGCTACAAAGTGCAAGGTGTTGAGCATATGCCATAAAGCCACTTGCGAATACAGACTGGGGGATAAAATATTGCAGCGCACTTCAACGGAATGCGATCTAGGCGTGATAATGCAGGAAGATCTGGGCTGTCCCCGTCAGGCCGAGAAAGCCTCAAAAATACTAACCAAAATCTTGGCCTTTGGCGGAGGGCATTCGGGCGCTTCGATCCTTCCATCTTTTCTCAGATGCTCAACGCCTACATTCGGCCTCATTCTGAGTACGCCATCCACGCCTGGCAGCCATGGCAAAAAGCAAGACCTTACCGCTCTTGAACTGCCACAACGAAGGGCGACCAAGAAGGTAAAGGGCCTGTTTCATCTCCCTTACCGATTGAGGCTGAAAACCCTCGGGGTCTACAGTGGACAATATCGATGCCTGCGTGGTGACTTGATAATGACTTATATGATCCTGAGGAATCCAAACCATTCTTGTCGTCACCTACTAAAGCTGGATAGCAATACCACACTCAGAGGACACCAGCTAAAGCTGGACACACAATACAGCCGGTTGGAATGCCGCCGGAATTTCTTTTCCCTTCGTGTGTGTCAACACTGGAACGCTCTTCCCACATACGTTGTTTCTTCCCCCACGCTAACGGTATTCAAAAGACGTCCGGATGATTCGTTTTTCCACTTACATTACACTATGTAATCAGAGATGTCTACGTCAACCAAATGCGAACAAACGGTGCTCCTTCACAGCTTTTGTGCTTCACTACTTACACACTGCTGTTGTGGAATATAGTTTTGGATATATTACAACTTCATTCATCAATTAACTCAGTCCAAGAAAGCGGCGCACGAGTAAGCGTCGTCGTTTCTTTTGTTCTTAAGACACCTTCCCCATATTACTTCCCCATATTACTCTACAGCAAAAATTCAGTACATATTCTAAAATGTTTATATGAATACGCGGCACCTGAATCGCTAGACGCTGAAATTGACCATTTACACTTACGTTTACTTTCATTTCCACCGTCCTACGGGATTTGTAAAGCAATCGCTTTTTTGCCTGTATTTTATCATTGTTCATTGTTCAATAGCAATTATCCATATAATAGGCAGGGTTATCATGTGGGAGTGGTGGTTATCTATACGGATTTAATGTCTGGGAAAGGTTCGTACTGAATCCCTGCTACTTGGGTCTGGAGGTTTTATCTTAGTTTTGAAACCGTTTTCTTTTATGCTTCTCAATTAGAACTAGGCTTTTACAGCCCGATTTCTAACAGTATACTTCAAAACAGTTATGTGTTGTTTTACAGATTATCAAATATGAAATTGTACAAGGTTTTTTCTTTATTGAGGAGCAAGTGGTCATTTCTGAAATGCATGTAGCATGACAAGCGTGAGAGCTTAAATGTTAAAGACATCGCCACATCAGTAGTACTTGCTCGGTTTCTCCTTAGTCTTCTTTTTCAAGCGTTGATGGGTGTTATACAAATATGGACAATACCACTTTGAATCACCTTTTCATTGGGCTCTGTACTACTCTACCTCCTTTGCTTGAATAACGCGATGATTTGGGTCTCCTACTTCTTCTGGCAGGTTTCCCATAGCTGGACTTCCGCGACACCCGCTTAGTCTGTCGATGGGCGCTGGTGCCACGTTTATCTACAGCTGACTTTTTATTCCGTCGCACAGGTCTAGAAACACGTTTTGCACCCGATGTGCCTTTACCAATCGTCGCCCCTTCGATGGGCATTCTTGAAGCAAATGATGTATCAGGACGTACCATATGCTCCAATTCTGGGCTAGACAAGCTTCCATCTCTTGAAGACACTTTTGCCGACGAGGCAATATTAGGGGCTACTAGAGATGCTTTGTATCTTGGTGGGGGAAGCGAATTTTTGCGTCTCGGTTTTAATACTGGCTTCTGTCTTAGAAACATGTGTTGTATATCCAGGTGGAGCTGTTCGGAATCGAGCGAGATGGCGGATGTGGGTCGTTGGACACTTGTCTGCATAACACTTCGCCAAAAGTCTGCAGGTACGTAACGGAGTAAACGATCCATCAGATCCACACTGTAAGGTTTTTGTAGTAGTTCGCAAACAATATTGCAGTAACCACATGATTTACTTTTATCTTTTATTTGCTTTTTGCATCTACCGCAAAAGATGGTAAATAAAATACCTCCAAATTGGTGGGCTATCTGATATCGCGTCAGACTAGCAAGCGCTGGTTGATCGCGGTAGTTTATGACAGCATCTTGCACTAGGTCGGCAAAGAAAGCCATAATGGTTGCAAATATATTCCGTTTCATGGAATCTTCTTCGATCAAAGAATCCATGAATGTTCTGACCTCCTTTAAAAAATGAGCTTCGTTTGGCGTTTCATTATCGTTTAGGTAACCTGGTCCCATTATTACCCAACCTGTATTTGGATAAGTCAGAGTAACGCACACTTCTGTTTTGCCGTTTGATAATAATTCACATAAAATAGCGAAAACTTCATCTGTTGGAAGATACTGTAGCTTCTGAATACATCTGAGCTCATTGAGATCAGATTTGTTCGATATTTTGTCTATAAAGATCTCCCCTCGTAATTCCACGATGTATTCTGCACGTTGCTCTCTTAATTGTGCTGCACTCCAAGTCATGCTTGACCAACATGAAGGTAGCGTTCGCAATTGACCATTCTTCACCCGTGTGATAAGTTCATTAGTGCAGATACTCAGCCATTTCGGTATTTCTGGAGTTTTGGCCATTTTACCTTTCCACGTGCTGTCTACACTGTTGACTGACTGGATCCTGTGCAATGTATCACTGTCCATCCCATTCGCTACTCAAACTGTTATCGATTTCAGCTTTTGACGAATCTGAAGAAGCACGTGATTAACCGGTTAGCAGATCGTGCTTTCCACCTGATTATTGACTCATTACCAGTAGCTTCACTGTTCCCAACCTAGTGCTCTACATATACCAGTACAACTACAATAGCTCTGGAAAAAGGATGGACCAATAATTGTCTAAACCCCTTTTGAAGGCTTCTACGGTTTCAGACTCCACTAAATCAGAAGGAAGTTTATTCCAGTAGTTAACTACTCGGTTCGTAAAAAACTTTGCCCTGATGTCCAAACGAGCTCTGTGATGTTTGAGCTTCAGGCGATGCCCGCGCAGATGGTCTGACGTAGCCAACTCAAACAGATGGGTGGAACTAATACCACTAAGTCCCTTAATGATCTTAAACGTCTCTATCAAATCCCCTCTCAACCTACGCCGTTCCAAGGAAAATAATCCTAAGCTACTTAGACGATCTTCGTAAGACTTCCCTCGTTGACCTTCAATCATCCTGGTCGCAAGTTTCTGAATCTTTTCTATACAAATGATGTCACTCCGGAGGTACGGTGACCACGCCTGAACACAATACTCCAGATGTGGCCTAACCACTGCTTTATATAAGGGCAAATTTAAAACATTTCAAGAGCATTTACGTAAGACCTTGCCCGCTGCGCAAATAGTCGCAGATTGTAACGGCTTCACCGGGTGTGACTTCTCTGTACCCAATCTATTAGGCTATTTCACTTTCAAGAACTTCTTCATCATGATCAACACATGCTCCCTAATATCGGAAACACACTTCAGGTAATGGTCCACAATACAAACTAGATAAGAGATTAAACATTACAGACTACAAAACTTATAAAAAATGCAACCTAATGTTAAATATCACATCATGCATATGGTTTGAGGTCGTTATCGGAGAGGGGAAGCTAGAGCGAAGAGGAGGGAGCAATAAACAACACAGACACCACTGAAGTTGGCTCTTCACCATGTCATCTAGTGTATCCAACCAAACGTGTTCATCCTCTTTCGGTTCCGAACCATTCCGTCGGGATACGGCAATTGATGCCAGTTTCGTAGTGAGGGACTTCATTCCTCTCGACCAAGTAATCACTGTACCTCCCCTACTCTTTGCTCATCCACACACGGCGCGCAAACAACGCACGTCCCGGGAGTCGGTGTACTGGCTTGCGGAACACTTGGCCCAGCCGTCGGAGCTCTGGGCGTGATATAGTGGGGCTGAGCGGTTCACTCGCCTTTCTTTACCAAATACGCGGCGCCAAGCACGCCCATTGCTCACGCGGTGTTCCCACCAGACATGAGCTAAGCTGCGAAGGCAGCGATGGTCGAATGCAACAAGCCTCCTTTCGTTCATCGACTTGAAGAGCCAGGTTGCGCAACCGTACAGCGGGGTTGAACGGAGGGCTGCATTACAGACTCTGCCCTTCAAAGCGAGAATAATGTTAGACCGGCGCCAAAGGGGATGGAGATAGGCAAAAGCTGAATGAAAAGATTGTCCTGTTCTCCGAGCTGGGCATTTCTGTTGCAGACGTTTCGTTACCAAACTAGGTAACATCTTCAGTGCAGCTATTTGATGGTGATTCGCGGAGTCTCGCAAACCAATGCTACAGGTATTCTCAATAATTTCCATAGGCAAAAGCATCTGGAGAACACAGTTGAACGAATGCACGTCTAAATCGGCGACTAAGCAGGAACAGAATTTCGCATCACTGCATCATAAAGATACTTACTATGCCATTTCTCAATTGATTGCATCCTTAACGCAATATTTTTCATCCGTAGAGCAGCAGCTTTCATCAATAATATGCAACACTTTAGTCGGAGTCACCAAAATGCATCCACGACCTCAGTCATCTGCTCGTCTAGGTGCGTACCAGCATCGGACAATAGGGGGATGGAAATAGGGGCTTATTCTCCAACTGGGTTCAAATCCCAAAGCCTGGGATGTGAAGGTAAAGCGAAATCAGCACAATTTCGAATGAACGCAGAGGTCACATTGTTCATGTTTGGAACACGGAGACACGCCCCTGGCTTGACGAGTCCGTTGTGTATGAAGTCAGAACAGTCTCACAAAGAGGGGTTGAGTGAGCGAACCGGCTGTCCGTTTGAGGCGAGGACACAGGTGAGGCACGGATGGCCGGAGTGAAGAAGCGGAAAAGACGAGTGCTAACTCGAACATGTGAACGAAATCATGGCTTCAGCGTATCATTGAGACTACAATGCCTTATAATTGAGACGGAGATGAAACACCAAACCCCCTTCTCATGCATTAAGAACAAGAAGCTGTAATTAATAGTAACACAAGTCAACGGCCGATTGCATTATTAAGAAAAGAAGAGGCGACAAAACCAACCGGTTCTCCCGCATTAACAGGCTTGGAGGCGAATGTATTGATTCCCCAATTGCTATGGCAAAAGCTTTTAGTTCAGTTGTTGCCGAATCCCTTAACCTTGAGAAAGAAGCGCTAGAATTGTCAATCTCGATTAACTGCCCCGAACAAGCTTCCACGATCGACTTTAATGCCGCTAGCATAAAACGTATGGTTACCTGTCTATGACCATCCTACAGACCAGGCCCCGATGGGATCTATTCTGCTTTAGTCACACAAGGTGGCTGATATCCCATTTCTGTTATTCAATATCTTCTCTTTGTCCTTCCAGTCTGGTCTGCATCCCCAGCGATGGAAGACGTGTACGGTCATACCAAGACATAAGTCCGGGTCGAAAACTGACATTCGGAACTGTCGCCCCATTAGTCACACTGCCATCTTATCGCTCGTGTTAGTGAGAATTGTTAAGATACATCTGATTCCGTTCCTAGTATCGAACTCACTTCTCACACCTTCGCAGCATGGCTTTCTGAAGTCCAGCACTTGTGTTACATTTCAAGTTGACTGTCTTAATCATCTAAATTAGATAATTGATTCTGGTCTTCAGTGCATTTTCCTCTTCTTGTCATGAAAAAGCCGTTTAACTGAGTTCCACACAAGAGGCTGCTATTTGAATTAAGCTGATACGGTGTGACAAATCCGCTGAAAATTCACTCTTCATGAGTGCATAAAAGCGACTTCTTGGCTTGACTTGACTTTTCACCCTTGGCTCCAGTCGCACTTAGTTGGAAGATCGTAAGTTGTGGATATAAATGATAACCTTTCTTCACCTTGTCCCGTCACCAGTGGACTGGTGCAGGGCAGTGTTTTAAGTCCGTTACTCTTCCTACTCTATAATGAACAATGAACTATGAATTTGTACGAGTTAGAAAGCAATGCTTATCATGTCTCGTTGGGTGGTTTTGCAGACTTATCGTAAATTAAAAATCAGTGGGATATTTACGTTTAAAAGAAGGACTTATCCTTTGTTTCCCTGTAGTCATGTGATCCGTGTAGTTTCACAGAATAAACATGTAACGGCAAATAAATCCAAACTATATTCTAGGACTGGGGTGTAGATGTAGTACTAGGTAACAAAGCGTAGCTGAGTAAGTGAGTCACCCAAACGTCTTTACATATGGATAGTGATGGTGCAGCAATGACCGACTCTGGAAGAGCATTCCACGGGTGACACACATGGACGGAGAAGGAATTCCTGCGGCCATCTAGGCGACTGTACTGTTCTACCATTTTTAGTGAATGAGCTCTCAAATTGGTATTGCTGCTGAGTTGCAGTAAAGAGCAGCACAAATGATGTGGATCGTGCAGTATTAAGTACACCATTATCCAGTCACTGTGTAAGCGGCTGTAACATCCGCTGAATACCCCCAATGGTTCCAGACTCTCCTCGTATGCAAGACGGTGCATTCCAATAATGTACAGGATGGTCACCAAGTCCCTGGTCATTGTTCATAACTAATGTCGCTTCCAATACGATCTATTATTTAATGTTTGCACATCTATCATAATATATAAAGCATTTATGTACGATAATTCTGCCTTTCTATTCTCAGGCATACATTCGAAAAATGACTGACACAAGTCCCTACACCAATGAAGAAAGACTCATAGTTGCTGTTTGGGTACATGTTTGTGCTAGTAAAACGAACAGTGGCTGACATTTCCACTGATTTCCATGAGCGTTTCAAGAAGCCTGCAAGAAAACTGGACACATTATTGGCATGGCAGAAAACATTTGCATCTGGATCTGTGCTGGATGCCCCTCACTCTGGACGCTATGCCTCCCGAATGGAGCACGTTGAAGTCATTCGTCAGTCCGTCTTCAATTCTCCAACGAAATAGACTCCTAAAGTTTGCTGAATTGCATATTCCCCGCTCCATACTCCAAAAGGTACTCAAAACTAACCTAGGCTTGTCATAATTCAGGCCAATGCAGGTCAGTGAACTTTCTGATATTGATTGACAGAATCGAATGGAGGTGTGTCAACACCTTCAGCAATTCCCCATAAAAACTAGTCGTCACAACATCATCTTTAGTGATGAATGTGCTGTTGATCTCAACTCGCAATCACGAAATGTTTACATTTGGAGCTAGATTAACCCATACTAAGCTGAAGAAATCGCCAACAACCGACCGCAGGTCATGATGTGAGCAACAATGTCAGGCACCAAAATCATTGGGCGATTTTTCTCGAAACTCAGTGAATCCGTTCACCTTCCGAGAAATGTTGGAGACCTATTTCATTCCTTAATTGATTGCAACTGGAATCATGCATGTAGTCATTCTGCAGCAAGGTGGTGCTGCTGCACATTGACCTACCTCAGTGTGCCGGTTCCTGGATGAGAATTTTCCTGGCCGCTGGATTGGACGTAGATCACAGCAACAATGGTCAGCTCGCAGTCCTGACCTCTCATCATGCGACAATGCCTGGAGTGGCATGATAAAAGAAGAGATCAAAAAACCACGTTACAACAACACCGCAAAACTTAAAGCTGTAATCCGTGCTTGATTGAACTCGATTTCATCTGATGTTCTGCAACGCACCTCAGCACGCAGTTGGAGACGCATTCGTCTATGGGCTGAGGATGACGGTGAACAC